TGTTTGCATAAAGATGCAGTGGAGGTTCCTTGATGTCAGAAATGTAGGTCTCTGTCAGTGTTTCCATGTCTGTAGTTTTTATACATAACATGGATACATACTTGGACGAGAACATTCCAGTAATGAGTTGGCTGCAGAGTAGGCCGCCTCTGGCATGTTGAGATGTGCCTCGGTTTCTTCAGTACTAGAGCGCCGTGTGGTGCAGGGGTTTCCCGTGTGCGTGTCTTTGCTCGGCCCACCCCCGAGTGTGCTTTCGTGCTTTCAAGAGCTTTTCCCTTTCCCTGTGAGAGCCCCAAGCTTCACGGCCTGTTGCAGCCGGAGTTCTGTGGAAGGCGTGACTTGCTGTCTCCAGCCCAGTCTTCAGAGCCTAAAACTTGGGGATAGCCCGTGAGCTCATGTATTTCTTTTTTTTGCGGGGGGGGATGTCACACCCAGTGATGCACAGGGGCTACTCCTTGCTCCTGCACTCAGCAGTTACTCCTGGCAGTGCTCAGGGAACCATATGGGATGCTGGGAATCGAACCCGGGTTGGCCGTATGCAAGGCAAACGCCCTACCCGCTGTGTATACCCACTACCAGCTCCAGCCCTGAGCTCGTGTATTTCTGAGGGTACTTCAGCCAGTTCAGCTTTTGCAGCCTGCCCTGAACCACTAGTCATGACGACTGCCACGCCCAGTCCCACCTGGAACCCTAAGGCTCTCCCTGAGGCGCCAGCATCCTGGGATCTTGCTGGTTCTGCAGGCGAGGGAGCACTGTCCTGTAGGGTCTCTGTCGGGAAGACAGAGCTGTTTGTGACAGAAGACCGTGAGGGTGGCTCCAGAATTGGGGTTAGCAGCTTGACCACACGTAGCAAGTGATTGAAGGTGGAAATGAGTGTCCCTCCCTGCTGGCAGAAATAATTTGTACAAAATTGTTTTAAAAGGTAGCATTAGGGGCTGGAGCGATATAGCACAGTGGGTAGGGCATTTGCCTTGCACGCAGCTGACCCAAGTTCGATTCCCAGCATCCCATAGGGTCCCTCGAGCACCACCAGGAGTGATTCCTGAGCTCAGAGCCAGGAGGAACCTCTGAGCATCGCCAGGTGTGACCTGAAAAGCAAAAGCAAAAAAAAAAAGGTAGCATTTGTGTTAACGTGGACAATTGGATGTTCAACTGACCACTGTAGGGGAGTGTAATAAGAATTCTTGTTAACTGTGGGGAGTACCAAGAAAGGGCACACTATAGCCCAAGAGATTAGTCAAGGGAGGTCAAGGGATCCATGGGTGTGAAGGCAAAAACAATTATCTTTATTTTCAATGACCCCTAATTGAAAGTTAATGTGACCTAATAATGAATGTTGAATAACAAGAAGAGCAATATTACCAGGACCTTTTTTTGTCCCTAATTGTAAGCATTTTCTTTTATTAAAATAATTGCAAGTATTTCAAAGCATTGCGTTCATTACTGTTTGAAATTACAATAGTTATTTAATCTGCCTACGAAAACATATCCTCCATAGAGTTTATCAATAAGGTATATATCGCAGTAGCACAAATTTGTTTTTAAAAAGCTGTAATACCCATACTTCAGGTGATGTCTGTGTCTTGTTTGTTTAGAACCATTATTCTGAGAGGGGATCCGTTGATTTCACCAAGGAATCTGGGGTACAGCAAAGATAAGCACCTTTAATAGTAGCAGGGAGCTGGCTTCGCGTGCAGCTCATCCAGGTGCCCCAAGTCCCGTCAGGAATGATCCTGAGCAGAGCCAGGAGTAAGTAGGCCCTGAGCACTCCCAGGTGTGTCCCAAAAAAATTTAAAAAAAAAAAGCCTATGCTATTGTTCCAGCCCCCCAGGAAGTAATCTAGACTTCAACTTGTCACAACAGCTGCTAACTGTGATTTCATTACATAGTTAAAAACCAGAAATAATCTAGCACTCAACGCAGAAAAGAGTAAATTATGGAAAGAACTGTTGAACCATTGAAAACTACAAGGTAAAAAAAAAAATTTCTTTTTTTTTTTTTTTTCATTTTTGGACCACACCCGGCACAGTGCTCAGGATTTACTCCTGGCTCTGCACTCAGGCAGGGATCGCTCCTGGCCAGGCTCCGGGGGCCATATGGGGTCCCAGGGATTGGACTCCAGTTGACTGCATCTCGCAAGGCAGACACCCCACCCGTTGTACTATCACTCCAGGCCCAAAATGTTTTAATTAAGGGACCAGAGAGATGGTATGAAAGTTAAGGCACGTGCCTTGCATGCAACAATGACCCGAATCCTGGCACCACAGACGGTCCCTGAGCACCACTAGCTCTGTCCTGAGCACTCCTGCATGTGCCTCCCCCACAGCCTCCCAAAACAAAAGGTCTTCCGGAAGTTTGGGGGTGTTGTTTCTTGTTGGTTGGGTTTTCTGTTTCCGATGCTGCTCAGGGCTTACTCCTGGCTCTGCTCTCTGGGGTCACTGCTGCTGGTGCTCAGGGGACCATGAGCGGTGCTGTGGACAGAACCTGGGTCAGCTTTGTGCAAGGCAAGTGCCTTACCCACTGGACTCCAGCTTCTTTACAAAGAATTTTAATAAGAAAGTAAATGCTGGAGGTAAATGCTAAATGAATTCAAAGTTCCAGAGAGAAGATATTTCAGCTGTGTGTTGTGCAGATAAAGGACTAGACGGAAACATTCCAGAATGGCCGGAAGGGACTTTCTCTTCATTGTGAAGTCATTGGCAGCTTGTTTCCTGCCTTTTTATGTTTTACCTAAACCAGACTTCCACGGAGAATGTGTTGCTATTTAAAAACATTCTCTCATGCAAGTGCTGTGAAAACAACTTTAAATACTAAAACCAAGGGACTTAGGAAGTATAGAAGGATAGCACTGCACTGTCCTCCCATTGTTCATCAATTTGCTCGAGCGGGCCCAGTGATGTCTCCGTTGTGAGACTTGTTGTTACTGTGTTTGGCAGATGGAATACGCTACAGGGAGCTCGCCATGCGGGCGAGATACTCTCGGTAGCTTGCTGAGCTCTCCAAGAGGGGCAGAGGAATCAAACTCAGGTTGGCCAGGTCAGCTGGGTGCAAGGCAAACGCCCTACCTGCTGTGCTATCGATCCAGCCCATAGAAGTATAATGAATCAAAGAAGCACAAGGGGCTGGAGTGATAGTACAGCGGGTAGGGCATTTGCCTTGCACGAGACCAACCCAGGTTCGATCCCTGACATCCCCAAGGACCACCAGGAGTAATTCCTGCGTGTAAAGCCCTGCGCATCACCAGGAATGACCCCCAAAAAAGCAGTAAAGCAAAAAGTCACAACAGAAGAAAAAGGAAACAAGCAAAATGTCTTACATCTCTGGAAACATGCTGTTCGCATTTTATTATCCATCCAAAATTCATGTGCTCTTGTGTACATGTACCCCTCTCGGAGAGCCCGGCAAGCTACCGAGAGTATTCGATATGCCAAACACAGTAACAACAAAGTCTCCAATGGAGACGTTACTGGGCCCCGCTCGAGCAAATCGACGATCAACGGGAGGGCCTTTACCTTTACCTTTACCTTGTGTACACAAGGGTGCACACACACTAGGTGTATATACTAATAAGAGGTTTTGTTTTCTCTTTAACTTGAGTGGGTTCATATGTAACTATTTTTCTGCTTGGGGGCATCTGTGGGTCGTGCTGAGGGCTTACTGCCGGCTCTGAACTCAGGAATTACCTCTGGTGGGCTGGTGGGCTGGTGGACCGGCGTTGGGGGGCGGGGGGGAATCACCTGCAGGTGGGCATGCGCTCTGAGATGAAAACCAGGAGACACGGCGTGTTCAGACCATCTGAAGGGGCCGGAGTGGCCACCCCCACCTGTGACTGGATCCGTCCTTTATCGCTTTTCTTCTTGGTCGTCTTTGTCCTCTTTGCTCACCCCTTGGTCAGCATTCTTTTCCAGTTAACCTTTTGGCTTTTGTAGATGTTTAAAATATTTTCATAGAGTCCGTTTCTTCCATTCGTCTTTGATTTCGGTGCCTCGTGACATTCTGAGGTTTGGAAACTCTCATCAGATCTGTTGGACGCTTTATGGCTTTGGGTTTTATGTCTGGCTGCGACGACTTTATAGTCAGAAAATTAAGAAGATCTAGTTCATAGAGAGAGACCGGCAAAGCAGCAGCCGTAGCTTGGGTAACAGGAAAAACCCCGAATCTCGTTTTTATCGTCTGTTTTAATCCCCCTCCATAGCCCACCTCTGTGGAGAGGTGTGTTTGGGGGAGCGAGGCTTTGAAAGCCAAATGAAATTTCGATAAGTGGAGGAGAAAAGAGGTGTTCCCTGAGTGGAACCATATGGAGTAAGCCACGGAAACGGACGGAAAGAAACATGTCTGACGTGGGCCTACTGGGACCTTGCTGTGTCAGGCAGCAGGACGGTGGAGCAAGACCCTGGGGCACAGGTCTGGTTGGCGAAGTATGCATTTAACCAAAGAGAAGTCGTAGAGAAAATTAGGGTATAGCCTACATGATGAAATACTAACATTGAGAATAATCATTTGGAAAGATGCATGGAAAAACATGAAAATTAGAGTAAAACAAGCATATAAAATCATAATCATTATCACAACTGTTTAAAGAAATATACTTGCGGGGGAAAAAAGATGAAAAGGAATACTTCAAAATGAAAGGGGCGTATGTGGGTGAAGATGGGATATTCGACTCTGTCCAGTGCCCTTATTTATTGTGGGTTTTTTGTTTTGTTTTGTTTTTACTTTTTGGGTCACACCTGGCTTTGCACAGGGGTTCCTCCTGGCTCATGGACTCAGGAGTTACTCCTTGCGGTGCCCGGGGGACTCTATGGGATGCTGGGAATCGAACCCGGGTTGGCCGCTTGCAAGGCGAAAGCCCTCCCCACTGTGCTATCGCTCCAGCCCCGGCCCTATTTATTGTTGGGTCATTTCAGAGGCAGGTGCCAGTCCCAGAATCCGGAGGGGCTCCTGGGGCGCGCTGTGAGGTGCAGGGTGGGGTGACGGTCCTCTCCTCTCTTGCCTTCCAGGGACTCCTCATGCTGCTACAGAACCTCCCGACCATCCACTGGGGGAACGAGGAGATCGGGCTGCTGCTCGCCGAGGCCTACAGACTCAAGTACATGTTCGCCGACGCCCCGAATCACTACCGCCGATAGGTGCTGCTCCCGCGGGACCCCGCAGTCTGATCACTGTGGCCTCTGCGTGCCGCGGGCCCGGCCCCCACGCCACCTCTCTGCGCGGGGCTCGGCGGCGCCACCGTCAGTATTCCGTGCCGGGGGATCGGGCCCGGACGGAGGAGGGGTACCGGGGCGTCTGCTCCTCTCAAGCAGAACTGGACAGCAGTTCAAGGCGGGTGGCGGGAGGCTCAGGGTCCGACTCTCTCCCCCTTCCCCCCCCCCCCACGCGGACTGGCTGTCCTTGCCTCCAGCCCCGCCTGACGCGCTGTTCTGTGTGACGTTTGTTTGATTTGATCACAAGTTAAAACCGCCTTACACTCCACGACACCCCCCCCCACCCCCGCCCCCCTCCTGCCTCGCTCCCGCCTTTTCCTGCCGCCTGGTTTGAGCCAGGGAGGGGTTATCCCTTAGACCGGATGGATGGAGGCGCCCCCGCACAACACTCCACCCCGTGCCAGGCGCCCCTGCCCCCTCCCAGGGATGTCTGCGCCCATGGGTGCAGTTGGGGGGGTGGGGGGACCCCGTGAGCACGCCAACACACTTTCCCCAGAAGGACCACGAGGGGCGGGGACTTCCCCTCTGCAGGCCCGGCTCCAGGGTGACCCACTCCAAGATATTACGTGTAACTTGTGTTATTATGTCAATGGGTATGATGTACGAGTGCGTGCCCTCTTTGTAGCAGATACGGTTTTATATTTATAATGTGCATCTACGTGAAAGCAATCGAGGCCACTCGCACAGGCCGCCTGGCCTGGCCCATGGCCTCAGCCCCTCCAGGTTGATCCCCGGGGGTCCTCGTGAGTGGAGCAAAGCCGGACAGACGGGGCTGGGCCTGGGACCACTGCCCTGCTCCTCCTCCTCTCGTGGGGCTCCCCACCCGCACCCCTGGGGAAGTCTCCAGAGGCAGAAGGCCTTCTGCATGATGTTAGCCCTGCCCGTCGCCCCAGACTCTGGAAAGGAAGGCCTTTCTCTTTTTTTTTACATGTTTAAGTCACGTTGTTTTCAGGACAGCAGCTGTCTGCGACTGACACGGTGCCAAGCACTGGGGCTCGGGTCTCTCCTCAGAGCGAGGCAGCCCTTGGCGCCCCCCGCGTCCGCGGAACAGGCGACTTGTGGGGCTCACGTTCAGCGGGGGATGCTTGGCTGGGGGGAGGCGCAGCCCCCCGGGAAGCCAGCGCAGCACGCGACGTCTCTCGTTGGCAGCTGTTTCTCAGGCATCCTCCCCGCCCCTCCTCTCCCCTCCCGTGTGCCTCAGAGCCGCCTCCACAGAGAGGGGGGCCGTGACCCTCCCTCGCCCGACAAATTAAAGAGAGACACTTGTGTTCCCAAGTGGTGGTTTTATTTTTTTAGTTTTTATGTTTGTACGGGAAATTGTGGATAAAGTGAAGAACTGTAAATAAATAGTGTGTTTCCTCCTCCACTGCTGAGTTTGCTCCCTGGGATGCTGTTGCCTGGACCCCGGGGCAGCTCTTCCCCGGTGCGTCGCCGACACTGAATGCAGGCGGTGCCACGCCTTCAGTGGCACCGAGAGCGCCGGCCACCGCCGCCCGCTCTGGGAAGGCGCCGCTGAGGTTCCCAAGCGGGAGCTTTCTCGCCCGCTTCGGGCAGCCGTAGGTCCCTGTGGCTGGTGCCCGGCTCTCGTTAGCTCCTCACGGACCATCGAGATCACCAGGAATAGATCCTCTCACAGAGCTTAGAGATGATCTAGTCCCACTCCTCATTGTTCGTGGATTGTTGTTCGTCAGTTGCCTCGAGCAGGCCCCGGTAACGTCTCCTTCGTCCTCGCCCCGAGATTTTTAAAAAGTGCCGTATTCAAGGCTCTTTCAGGGGGAGGAGAATGAGACCCATCATTGTTACTGGTATTTGGCATGTTGGGTACGCCACGGGGAGTTTGCCAGACTCTGCCGTGTGGGCAGGCTACATTCCGTAGCCTCACAGAGCTTAGAGGTGATCTGGTCCCACTCCTCATTGTTCACCAAGGAAAATCCCACCAGAGGCCAAGGAAGGGGTCAGCGGAGAGTGGCCACACGCCTGGCTTGCCTGCATGGTGCCCCCGCCAGACCCAGAAGAGCTGCAGCATGCTGGACAGCTGGACAGCTCAGGGTCTCCACGGAGGCGTGTCAGCTCTCTCTCTTAGTGACGTGTCTCCAGAAAGGCAGCTTGAGGGGCCAGAGCGACAGTACAGCAGGGAGGGTGCTTGTCTTGGAGGGTGCTCGTCTGGGTTCAGCCTCCGCACGCCGAGCACCGCCAGGAGTAAATCCTGAGCACAGAGCCAGAAGCCATGGCCACCGCTGGGATGGCCCCAAGACAGAAATCCAAAGCTTGCTCTTATTCATCTACAAATGAGACCTGGTATCCACAAAGTCCACTCAAAGTCCACTCCAGGGCTCGCCCCGCCCCGCCGTTGGAACTGCTCTAGCAACAGGAAGGGTAAAAAGAGACAGGAGCTGGAGACAGCTTAGAGCTGAGCACAGGCCCTGGTTCAACCCCGAGCACCAGCAGGGGAGGCTCCACAGATGGGCCTGAAACAAAACGACATGAAAGACGAGACAGGGCGAGACAGGGCGTGTGCCTCAGGGAAGGTTCTCAGGGAAGTGCGCTCAGGGTAGGCTGTGGAACTGCCAGGGCCACTCCTGGCGGCTCTGAGGCCCATGTGCAGTGCCAGGGATTACACTGGACACACTGGTTGTGTGCAGGGCCAGCACCATCCTCCCTGGACTGTCTCTCTGGACCAGGACTTTGCTCTGGAGAAAGCACCTCTCAGGAACAGCCTTAGCATCCCTGTCCCAGACCACCCAGCTGTCCGCGGAGGAGAACTCGACTCTGCAAGGCACTGTCTGTGAGCTATTTGTCCATTCTTTCAACATACATGTAAATATTTCATGAGGTTTCTTCAATAAAGGGGGTCACTTCCGGAGATGCTTCGTCTGATGACTTAGTGCTAGGTAGGGTCCAGTGATGCTGGGAACAGTGATTAAAAAAAAAGAATCTAAGTGAAAATCGTACAGAGGTGCATCAACTATTTGAAATTCTAACATCAAGAGGAAGCATCTGCATGTAAGAAGTCACCTCAAGGTTTTCTTAAATAATTTTAAATCCTATACCAGACAAAACAGATACAAATATATTTGTGCAAATTGACTTGCTTAATAGTATGGCAGGCCAGAACCCAGAGTAGGTAGGGAAGCTTGCCTTGCACATAGCTGACCTGGATTTGATCTCTGACACCTCATGTGGTCCCCTGAGGACCACCAAGTGGGGCCCCAAAACAAAACAATCAACCCAGACGAAACAAAAATTCTGCGGCTTAAAAGTCATGGAGTCTCAGCTCTTCCTGGCTCGGTGCTCAAGAGTGACCCCTGGTGGTTCTCCAGGGTCAAGGCAAGAACCTTGACCCCTGTGCTATCTCCAGCTTCAGTCTGGATTCCTTGTGAACGGATGTAGCTGGTCTTATTCTCCAGTACATCTGACAGTCTCGTTTTATTTTTTGTTTGTTTTTTTTGGGGGGGGCCACACCCAGTCATACTCGGGTCACTCCTGGCTCTGCATTCAGGAATTACTTTGTAAAGTTGAATTCTATGTTGTCTGATGAAAGTTTGGCCACTCCAGCCTTTTTAAGGGAATTATTTACTTGAAATATTGTTTTTTCAGTCTTTGACTTTGAGTGTGTATTTGTCTTGACTGTTCAAATGTGCATTTAGTCAGCAGCAGAAAGTTGGGTTTGATTTTCTGGATCCAGCCTGCAGCTTAGTCTTATAATTGGCGCATTTAAGCCATAGGCATTGAGTGAGGTTATTGACACAAAGTAGGTTTTTTTGCCATCAGTCTGTACAGGTTGTGCGTATTTGTGAAGTTTGTATTAAGACTGTTTCATTCTTCTTACAAAGTTGCTTTCAAGGCGGTGAAGTCCCTGAGCTGTCCTGTTCCATGAAGCTCCATTTCCATGTAGCTGTCCTGCTTGATAGTCTACTGGGCGGTGTTCTTGGCAAGGCATCATGTCAATGGTTTGTCATTATTTTATTGACTATCTCCCACCATTTTTCTTGGACCGTAGTGTCTCGATCCACCTGTGAATTATGTCTTTGTATGTAATTTCTTCTTTGACCTTGTTACTTTCAATATTCTCTTTTGTTGGCTTTTGTCATCTTGATTATGATGTGAACTGGGGTAGTTTTGAGCCCACTGAGGGGGCGCATACCCAGTAGTGCTCAGAACTTTCTCCTGGCTCTGACTTCAGGATCACTCCTGACAGGGCTTGAGGAACCATCCGCAGTGCCATGGATCAAACCCAGGTCGTTTGTGTGCAAGGCAAGTGAACTGCCCTCAGGGCTGTCCCTCCGGCCCCATGGAGTATTCTTCTTTGGGTCTCTTGGCTCTTCTCATCTTTGTCCCTTCTCATCTGTGTTTCTTGGACTGATGCCTCTATCAGAATCACCATCTTGTTCCTCTGGGACTACAGTATTCTTCCTCTTGACATCATCCCGTAGTTCTCTCACGTGTTGTTTTCATTGAATGTAGTCTTTTTCCCATTTTCTTTTTTTCTAAAGGCTTCCTGCATTCCGTCTTGGGACTCCCTGATTTTGTCCTCAGTTGCTGTCACTCTGCTCGTCTCTGGAATTTTTCATTTCACTACCAAGCTCCACGTTGTCGGTTCTGGGAGCAGTTTTCTCTTCTGACCACACACTTCTTGTCCCCATTCCATCGTTTCTTTGAGAGTCTTGAACATCCTCAGCGAGCTGTGTCTGAGGCGCTCATTCGAGAGCTTACTGAGCTGGATAGTGCCAGTCAAGTCTTGAGCTATTCTGGTCCCTTTAAGATGGTGGGGGGGGGGGGGGGTCCTGTGCTGCCTTCCATGGTGGCTGTCGCAGTCTGGGGGGTCTTCTAATTCACTCCCCTGTCCCTCCACCAGAGAGCTCACCAAGTGATTCCCGTGTCACTTTCTTCCTTTGTTATTTCTGAGTAGTTGTTTGGATTTTCAACTTGCCTGCCTCTCTCCCACTGTCATTTCTGACTCCTGCGAC